GTTCTGAGCTTCAATGACTTCTTGCATAAATCCACTGAGCCTCATGTATGTTCCCTGGTTTTAGCCATGGAGAAAACTCTTGGCTGGAGACAATTTTGGTTACATTTACACTTGCTCAGATTTTCCAGACAAAAAGTTAATGGTGCATCTCCCAAATGTACCGGCAGCAACAACGCTTTATTGGTTCCGCTATCGGGACGGAACCAATAATGGCGAGACTTTTTTTTTTTAATAACAAAAAAAAATTGTCAATTTTAACATTTTATTTAGATTACAAAAATAAATCATAATAAAAATAATAATGTTTTATAAAATTAAGACCTATGAAACTCTTATTTAAGACCTTTTAATACTAATTAAGGCCTTAGTTTTATTTTGAAGAATTGAATGCCTTTTATGACTTTTTAAGGACCCGCAGGAACCCTGTGGACAAACGTTGAGCTTTTAAAAAAAGGTTGCAGGAGAATTTCTCCTCCCTGTATAAAGAAAAAGGTTCGAGAAGCATAAGACTGCGGTAACTTCAGGAACACCAAAGTAGAGATGTTTAGTGGTAATTAATGGCACAATGTCTGAAAAACCAAACCCAACAAATTAGTTCCAACACATAGTCGTTGTTCACCAAGCATGGCAGCGGAGGGCTGATGATCACAGGAGCTTTTTTTATAGCCACATGATTTGGTTTTTTGCAGTCATTGACTGAATCATATGTCATCTCCAAGCCAAACTCTTTTAGACTCAAGTTATGTGAGCTGGTCTGATGTCAGCTGCAGTCTGGCCCAGACTGATCCAAAACACAGCAGTAAACATCCAACAGCATGACTGAAAAAAAGGTCAGATGTTACAGTAGCCCAGCCAGCTTCCAGACATGAACCTGATTGAATCGCTGTATTAGGTAGGACTATTAAGTCTTTCATAATCTCAGCAGGAACAGATTGCCTCTGTTGACCTTTGCTGAGTGTCTGAACCGTGTAAAATCCACAAAGCGTTTTTCAGAGCTGAGCAGGTGGTAATAGAGAGGTCCCTGATGACACACTAACTGTTGGTGCAGGGAAATTATAGGTCAGCAAGGCACTTCTCCAAGTTATTGTCTGCGATTGTTTTTCCACCATGGTCGTTTTTTCTCACTGCTTTTCCTGTCAGCTGCAGCGAGGAGAAGACGGTGCAAATCAATGCAGCTAACTCCATTATGCTGCCTGATATTGCTAAAAGTTAAATGATTTCTTTCTCTTTGGTTTTTCTAATCCTACCCACAGCCGTCCTTTAGGACACTTAAAACATCACATGACCCCCCCCCAATGTGAGAACAGATCACATCCTGGACCATTTGAGGATTTTAAATACACTCAGTGTAAATCTCCAGCAAATAAACATCAGGATTTAAGAGTGTGTTTGGATTTTTAATTATTCATCAAGATTTTAATTACTTTCCTTGCAAGCAATTAGGCAGCTGTGACATAAATCCCTGAGTGCTTTTACAGAGTGGAAATCAGCCGCTTACATAACTGTCCTGTCCTGGTTTCCAGGCACAAAAATGGCGCTGAAGTTCCTGAGGAAGAAGACCACCAAGCTGAAGAGCTTCCTGAGAGAGTACAGCGTCTCCCTCTACCTGTCGCCCTGTCCCTTCATCATCAACATGTACGGCATCGCCTTCGAGACGGATGACTTCTACATCTTTGCTCAGGAGTACGCACCGGGAGGGGATCTGTTCGACATTATACCGCCGCAGGTGAGAGCTGCTGCTCACATTTTTACAAACCGAAAATTCCAACTATCTGAGAATGATTGGTTTTCCAAAAAGTATTTTTTTTGTCATATGATTCAAATATCTAACTCCTACCAAAATTAAAAATATCTTAAAATGCAATATTTTGCAGGAATTAGAAAGTCCTAAACTATCCTGATTTAGATCTAGGTGTTCAGGCCAAAAATAGACAACTAAAAATCAAGCTTTTGATAGCCATTGCATTGACCTAAAAGTATGGCTAATTAACCCTTTTTTCTCTTAGATAAAGTTTGGGATTAAGCTCTCTCTTTCTAATAGTTCAGTTTTTGCAGATCTTCTGTGGAGTCTCTTGGGTTGAAGATGCAAAACGTTTAGGAAAATAATGTCCAGACGTTTACCCAGATCCTAAAACTTTGTTAGGGATGTTGAAAAGAGATACTGTTATTTTCATATTTGGCAGCCCATTGCTCTCCAAGGGGATGGGTTAAATGCAGTTAAATTTCTCCGATACGAATGGCCTGAGTTTAGGGTTTCCATCAGAGGATATGCATAATCAAGTAGCGACTGTTTGAAAGATTTTAAACCAAAACTATGGTGGAACACACATTGAATGTCATTAATGTCTCTGTTAAGACTAAAGCTAAATCCAAATTGCTCAAATCAGTAACGCTAGAACAGAAATGTATCCATGGTGGCCATATTAAATTCTAACTGAATAGTGCTCACAGTTAGGAACTAGCTAGAACAAAGAAGCAGTCTCCTTCCTCGCGCCGATGCAGTTGACAGAGGAAGCTTCTTACGTCTTTAGGCGAAATAGTTATAGTTATATATAGTTATATGATAAGAAAGAGCAAACATGCTTTTCTATGATATCCACTCAAAACGTGTTCCTTATTTGTTTTGTTTTTTGATATTGTTAGATCTTGTGACACTAGATATGGTCACATTGTCAATGGCGACACAGACCACAGCTCCATCTGTTTTCCGTTCTGTTTTGTGACCTCATGCTCTCTCTGTCCAGGTTGGACTCCCCGAGGCCGTGGCCAAGCGCTGCGTCCACCAGGTGGCCATCGCCCTGGACTACCTTCACTGCAAGAAGCTCGTCCATAGAGACATCAAACCCGAGAACGTCCTCATCTTCGACACAGAATGCAGGAAGGTCAAGTTGTCAGACTTTGGGATGACGCGTCGCGCAGGCTCTCCGGTGAAGCGAGTAAGTGGAACCATCCCGTACACGGCGCCTGAGCTGTGTGACACCTCACGCCACGAAGGCTTCTGCGTGGACTACAGCACGGATGTGTGGGCATTCGGAGTGCTGCTGTTCTGCATGCTGACAGGAAACTTCCCCTGGGAGAAGGCCATGCCCAACGACGCCTTCTACGAAGAGTTTGTCCGCTGGCAGCGTCGCCGGACGGGAACGGTGCCGACGCAGTGGCGCCGTTTCACAGATGAAGCTTTGCGAATGTTTCGCAGGCTCCTCTCCATCGAGCAGCAGCGCCGCTGCTCCGTCAAAGAGGTCTTCAGCTACTTTAACCAGTACTGGATGTTGGACACGGAAAACGGGAACGGCAGTGCGGTATCAGCCAACACGCCCGCTGTAGAAATAAGCTCTTCCTCTTCTGAGGAGGACGTATTGGTGGACAGACTGAAGCAGCAGAGCCTATCGCCTGCATGCATGGCGACGAAGGGAAGCTTCATGATGGACACCCACTTCTCCTCCTCAAATGGCTCGCCGTCCTCCACTAGTGGGTACGAGCGGGTCAACAGAGACAACAACGAAAGGGGACGCATCTTGGTGACCACGCCCATTGAGATCTGCGTTTAGACGCGTACTGCTGCTATCTGCTGAAGTTGTCGCTGACATTGAAGATTTCTTCAAGGCGAGGAAGCAAATCTGAAGCGCAGAGAGGGAGGTCAGCGGCGGGAAATGACCGACAGCCTGTTGTAGCTTCACTGCGGATCTTATCATTTCCGATGAAGGATATATCTGAGGAAATGAGCCGTGTGACAATCAAACTGTAGCCTCTGTCTGTGGTTCGTAGTTCAGTCACCGGAGCAGTGAATGAACTCTCTAATCAAGAAAAGCAAAAACCATGAAGGTTTTAAAATAAACACAAAAACAAGACGCCATATACGTTTGAAAAGAATGTGATCGGCTTTGTGTATAAAAGCAACCGTGACTCGTGTTTATCGTCTAGAAGCGTTTCCATGTTTCTGTGAAGTGAGTTTTTATTTATGTCGAATTAATATATTTAGAAGTTGTTTTGTCAGGTGGCAGAGCTGATCTCTATCTGCTATTAAAAAATAGGGGAAACCTTTAGTTTGGTAGAAAGCTTAGAGGTAGCTGGGCTCGTCTGTCATGTTTTTCTTTAGCCGCCATCATGACGTTTCATTAAATTAGATGTTTGGTATGTGGGATGTTTCTATGTGATCACACTTTTCTCCTCCCCCGCCAGTCCTCCCAGGTAATGAGCTCTGGGACACTTTCTGAACATTGTTTGCTTTTGAGAATTTAAGTGACAGAACGAAAGGTACATTTCCTTTTAGCAAATTAAATCGCAGTTTTGTGATAATGTCTTATTATCCTCTGCTTTAATGAGAAGCAAAAGAACATTGAAAAACTTTGGTTATTTGGATTCAGGGTTTTTTCCTGACAGAAGAATAAAAGGTTGCCTCTTACCTCGCAGCAGATTTATTTGTAAATTCTGTGAAAAATAGGACAGGAAATGAGATTTGGACTAAAAGAAAAAGCTAGTAGCTAACTGTCCTTGCAGCATTTTTTTTTCTTTCTTCCGGGTTTCATAAAGAGCTTACAGCATCATCCAAAACAGACATTGATAGAAAACAGAATCTGTAGGACGATGGGATAAAGTTCTTGGGAAATCTGTTTTCTTTTTGTCCATGTGTTGGTGTTTCTTGCATGAAGTGACATTATTGTGAAAAAACATTTCCTGAAATAAAAAAAAACCCCAAATAAAAACAACCTCTCATCTTTTTTGCTATCACTTTAACCTCTAAAACTTTTATAATTTTACACCGGGCATATTGTGTTTGTCTACTATTATATAGTATTGCACGGAAACCGATACCAGTATCGGGCGGGGCCCCGATCCAGCACTAAAATATCGTAGAGAACCAACAAATAGGGCACCGATACCATTTTGAGAGCCAAAAGTTTATTCAACTATTGTCACCCACTCCACGTAGGCAATAAATGTTCTACTGCCCAGCAAACACACACATTTGGGGCCCAAATGGGGCATAGCAGGGCTAATATTAGGGGCCCATTTGGGAACCCCAACTGGCACCCAACTAATTTTGTCCTCAGTTTCCATGGTGGCCCCAAGTGTGTTTGCCCAGTTGGGTTTATGATGGGCCTTGGATGGGCCCTACATTGTGCCTAGCCAGCGATCACATGTGGGAGCTAAATGGGTAAAACTGGGTTTAATATGTGGGGCCTGCTCGGGCTACCCACCTGGGACCCAGCTGTTTTTGTCCTCAGTTTCCATGGTGGCCCCAAGTGTGTTTGCCCAGATGGGTTTGTGATGGGCATTGAATGGGCCCCAGCTTATATCCTGACAAACACAGGTGGGGTCCAGATGGGTGGAAGCAAGGCTGATATTTGGGGCCCACTTGGATTCCCCACATGGGACCCGGCTATTTTTATCCTTTTTAAAATTGACCTCCATTCCCCAAAGGTGCCTATGATGGGATTTGGATGGATCTCATGTGAAAACATGGATTCACTTTGTATTAGTCTTTTTCCTGCTTCACGAAGGTACTGTAGGCAACAGCTTGACAAAGCCATGATGGTGATTATTTTACATCCAAGCAGTATGCAGTTCTTCATATATATACTCCCAAGGTGGACAAAAGAAGCGTTTTAAAGACACGCTCAAAGACTCCTTGAAGGCCTTCAACATCGACAAACACATGGGAGCAGGCAGTGCAAGACAGAGGAATGTGGCGATCCGCTGTCCACAAAAGCGCCAAAGCTTGCGAGGCAAACCGGATCGCTGTGGCTGTAGAGCGTAGGCAAGCCAGGAAGATGAGAGCTGCCAATCCTGTACCAGATGCAACCGTTCCCTGTCCGCACTTCCCAAGACTTTTCCATGCGCAGATTGGCCTGACCAGCCACCTGCGAACTCATAGACTCTTAACTTCCCCAACCATAGGATGAATAGATGGTCCTCGTCGTATCGATGGACACACATAGACACACTTCAATTTCAAACAGATGGTATCAGTATCGGCCAATACTGCACAGCCAGGTATCGAGTCCAAAAAATGGCATCGGCGCCACATTATTATTATAGCAAGCTAGCCTACTGCTAGTTTGGTGTAACAGTACCTTACCTTACCATGTGCTCTAGCTTATATCCTTCCGTTTGATACCACATGGCTTCTGTCTCTCTGTCACTACCCGATCCGTCCCGGAAGCACGATCCTTCCTGCGCATGCGCCATCAGCTCATTTGCTCATCCAGATATACATCCGGATCGCCTTCAATTTTATTTTGTTAAAAAGACCTAAATGACATATTTTTCCTCCCCAAAATTAGCAAGCGTACTAAAATATGTGTTAAAGGTTAATAATGTATTTCCTAAAAAACTAAAGACGAGTGATCTGTTTTATCACTCATCTCTGTCACTGGAAATGGGATCCTACGCTAATTTCAGGAGTTAACTTTTTCAGCTTTGGATTTAAACATAAATCTAGTCTGATTTTTGAATTTTGTTTTCCTTTCGTGTTAACATTATGGTATAGGTGCGTAATCTAAAGAAAGAAACAACTAAAATGCAGATAAACATGGTTTAATTATATTTTGCCGGACTGTTCTGAGCATGTCCGATGCGTAAGAGAAGGAGTTTAACAAAGAAAATGTAAAAAGCATCAAAATTGTCTCACAAAAGTCATAAAACATTTTTAAAGATGTATATTTGAATTCTTTGCTGGGTTAAGGATAGAAACAAGTACTTTTAGTACCATAATTACATTATTTATGGTCACCTGGATGTATATCTGTTAGAGCATGCGCAGGACTGATCCTGATTCTGGCTCGGATCGGGTAGTGACACTCTCTCCTGCATATCCAAGAGGCCTCATAGCGTCCTAAAATCTCCTCTGCTAGCCACCTCTAATTTATTTTATAGCAGCCATGAACCAGGCTAGTGTTTTCGCAGTGTTCTGCAAGGAAAGCATCTGGAAGAAAGATGCTTTCCTTCACTGCCACCCCACCAATCCCCGTTTGGGTTCTGGCCCTTGGATGATGTTGCACAAGAGCCGCTGCAGCATGGTGTCACGCCACTTTTAAAGCCGAGGCTCGTCTTCAGTAGCCTCGTGAGACCATCCTGATCTCGCGAGCTTTCAAGGTTTCACTCGTTAATCAGTCTGGCTACTTTCCATTAAAGAAAATTTGGATCCGTTCACCAAACGAACGTCCAATCAGCGTTGGCTTTGAGGCGGGTTGAGGTGTGATGCAACGAGAAGCGCGACAGTTCAGTCTAAAGAACATGGTGGCTTCAGCCGATGAAACTAGCGTTAGCGTGGCTATCGAGCAAGTTTTATCT